AATTGTTTAATATGTACAATAAAGGGAAAGAGAAAAGCAATATAGATGTCCCTGGGAGACAGAGTGTCTCCTTTAGGTAATGCCCCCAAGAGCCTCTGCTGAAACAATTTACCTCTAAAAATGATGAGTCACATCTACGTGCAGTCCCATACCTCGGACCCCCTGAGATGTGCAATAAGTGTGCCAACGGCTCTGCATATAGGCCAATCTGATCATCAGTCTGTGGTCCCCTGTCTCTTTGATCCTCTGCTGGGGAGGACAGGGAGGTAGTTTTCAGCCACTGAATGCATGCATTGCACACTCAAATTTTGAACTTAGAGTTATTTACAAATGATTGGAAAATAAGATGTAATTATTTATATGGAATATAACTTAGATAAAATTTTCACATTTAGATTTTAGCCGAAGAGAAGGACAACATGGAGGGCGGGATCCACAGATCCCGAAGGAAAAAAAAAAAACAGGTTCCAAAAAGAGCCGAGATCATCGGGAAGTCCCAGATGGGGTAGGTACCGCATCCCGCCTCCCCCAGATGGAACCCCGGTGACCAGAAACCTCTACAAGCACAGCTCGAGTATGCGGGAACTAGGACTTTTCCTCAAAACCGCGCGGCCGCTTATGCGGCCACGCGACATCTCTCTATATACAAAGTGATCCATGGGAAGTAAACCACCTAACGTTTCTCTCTGAAAATCATAGTTAAGCTTTGAGCACGGCCACAGCCCCAGAAACACAAGTACTTAATGCATAACCCAGCAGCTTGGAGCAGAAAAGTGAACGGGTTATGTGTTAACCCAGGCCATCAAGTCTGCCAGAGGGGAAAGGGTGTTGGTCCCTTCCGCCCTCCCCCCTCTGGAAAGAAAGGTGGCGGCCACATGGGAGCCTTGTGGACAGCAGGTATGAGCCGGGGGTGTGGGGGCGACTAAAACCTCATGGGAAGGGGGGCGTTCCGGTCCGTCCTTCACGCCCTACCGAGGCCACCAGTTGCCCCCCACGAGCGGCTCTCCAGCACGGCCACAGCCCCAGAAGCACAAGGACTTAATGCAGAACCCAACAGCTTGGAGCAGAAAAGTGAACGGACTATGCGTTAATCCAGGCCATCAAATCTGCTGGAGGGGAAAGGGTGTTGCCCCATTCGCCCTCTCCATTCTGGAAAGAAAGATGGCGGCCACATGGGAGCCTTGTGGACAGCAGGCATGAGCCGGGGGAGCGGGGGCGACTAAAACCTCATGGGAAGGGGGGCGTTCCGGTCCGTCCTTCACGCCCTACCGAGGCCACCAGTTGCCCCCCACGAGCGGCTCTCCAGCACGGCCACAGCACCAGAAGCACAAGGACTTAATGCAGAACCCAGCAGCTTGGAGCAGAAAAGTGAACGGACATGCGTTAATCCAGGCCATCAAGTCTGCCAGAGGGGAAAGGGTGTTGCCCCATTCACCCTCTCTTCTCTGGAAAGAAGGATGGCGGCCGCATGGGAGCCTTGTGGACAGCAGGTATGAGCCGGGGGTGTGGGGGCGACTAAAATCTCATGGGAAGGGGGGCGTTCCGGTCCGTCCTTCACGCCCTACCGAGGTCACCAGTTGCCCCCCATGAACGGCTCTCCAGCACGGCCACAGCCCCAGAAGCACAAGGACTTAATGCAGAACCCAGCAGCTTGGAGCAGAAAAGTGAAAGGACTATGCGTTAATCCAGGCCATCATGTCTGCCCGGAGGGGAAAGGGTGTTGGTCCCTTCCGCCCTCCTCCCTCTGGAAAGAAAGGTGGCGGCCACATGGGAGCCTTGTGGACAGCAGGTATGAGCCAGGGATGTGGGGGCGACTAAAACCTCATGGGAAGGGGGGCGTTCTGGTCCGTCCTTCACGCCCTACCGAGGCCACCAGTTGCCCCCCACGAGTGGCTCTCCAGCACGGCCACAGCCCCAGAAACACAAGGATTTAATGCAGAACCCAACAGCTTGGAGCAGAAAAGTGAACGGACTATGCGTTAATCCAGGCCATCAAATCTGCTGGAGGGGAAAGGGTGTTGCCCCATTCGCCCTCTCCTCTCTGGAAAGAAAGATGGCGGCCACATGGGAGCCTTGTGGACAGCAGGCATGAGCCAGGGGAGCAGGGGCGACTAAAACCTCATGGGAAGGGGGGCGTTCCGGTCCGTCCTTCACACCCTACCGAGGCCACCAGTTGCCCCCCACGAGCGGCTCTCCAGCACGGCCACAGCCCCAGAAGCACAAGGACTTAATGCAGAACCCAGCAGCTTGGAGCAGAAAAGTGAACGGACATGCGTTAATCCAGGCCATCAAGTCTGCCAGAGGGGAAAGGGTGTTGCCCCATTCGCCCTCTCTTCTCTGGAAAGAAGGATGGCGGCCGCATGGGAGCCTTGTGGACAGCAGGTATGAGCCGGGGGTGTGAGGGCGACTAAAACCTCATGGGAAGGGGGGCGTTCCGGTCCGTCCTTCACGCCCTACCGAGGTCACCAGTTGCCCCCCATGAACGGCTCTCCAGCACGGCCACAGCCCCAGAAGCACAAGGACTTAATGCAGAACCCAGCAGCTTGGAGCAGAAAAGTGAAAGGACTATGCGTTAATCCAGGCCATCATGTCTGCCCGGAGGGGAAAGGGTGTTGGTCCCTTCCGCCCTCCTCCCTCTGGAAAGAAAGGTGGCGGCCACATGGGAGCCTTGTGGACAGCAGGTATGAGCCGGGGGTGTGGGGGCGACTAAAACCTCATGGGAAGGGGGGCGTTCCGGTCCGTCCTTCACGCCCTACCGAGGTCACCAGTTGCCCCCCGCGAGCGGCTCTCCAGCACGGCCACAGCCCCAGAAGCACAGGGACTTAATGCAGAACCCGGCAGCTTGGAGCAGAAAAGTGAAAGGACTATGCGTTAATCCAGGCCATCATGTCTGTCCGGAGGGGAAAGGGTGTTGCCCCAGTCGCCTTCTCCTCTCTGGAAAGAAAGATGGCGGCCGCATGGGAGCCTTGTGGACAGCAAGTATGAGCCGGGGGAGTGGGGGGGCGACTAAAACCTCATGGGAAGGGGGCGTTTCGGTCCGCCCTTCACGCCCTATCGAGGCCACCAGTTGTCCCCCACTAGCGGCTCTCCAGCACGGCCACGACTCCAGAGCACAGAAACCAATTTCTTAACTATCTGACTTTCAGTATAAATACTTCCAGGGTCAATAAGTAAAATAGCAGAAATCCAAAACCAACATTTAATTCTTGAACCCAGCTGTAGAAAGCAAATCACGTCACAATGCTTTTTCAGCATGTCTGATTTGGGGGGGGGGGGTAAACTCTAAATTATAGTGGTGAATCTTTTATTGAAACAATGAATCTAATCAAAGCAGATAGAGTGTTAACTAGAATTCATCTGCCCCACAGGGACTGGGAGGGGTGGGGGGTGGGGTTTTATTGGGGTTCTTCATGGTAAAAAAAAAAGTATTGGTAAAGGGAAATGTGTTTGATATTTGCATGACTGAGACCTAAACCTGAAAGCTTTGTAACCTTTCCCAAGGTGATTCAATAAATAAAAAAAAATTTAAAAAAAAATTTCACATTTAGAAAAATGGAAAGAATGTGAGGGGATGAAATAAATTGGAACAAAAAATAAAAAGATAGGTATTGATTATTTCATCCATAAGGATATACAATTCATGGATGAAACAAAATAAAAATAACCAGTATTCTCTGGCAACAGAACTAAGGTTTACTTAGGAGAAGAAGGTGGTGGAAACAGGTTGGAGGGGGAAAGTTAAAAGGTTGGTGAGCTTTATTTTTGTTTGTCTGGAAACATTTTATTGATCATACAGATTATGTGGAACTATGATTCTGAGTTTTCTCAATGGAAGGTTCGTTTCAGTTGTCCCTCCCAATAGGACAGCATTTCTGATTTTTGGGATGTGTCACTGCTCTAAAATGGGATGCATATAGATTTTTAGCAGAAATTCATGGTGTGTATCAAGTCCCTGTAACTACATTTATAATTCACAGGATGGCGCCCTTATGATATGAAATATCCGTTTCCGCTGGATGTGTGCAGTTCAGCTGTCAAAGACTGAGTACAGAACGTATTCTCAGGGTTCAGCCGCTGTCCCCCTGGAATTCCTTCTTCCGTTCTGTGTGTTTATTTTGGGTCCCCGCCCTGCAGTGGCCCACGTGCAGTGTGCTCGCCAGCCTCTCATGCTGTCTCCTCTCTTCCCGAAGGGTGGTTTTCTTGTTTTTGTTCTTGTTTTTTAATTTATTTTATTTTGGGTTTGGAGCTACACCCAGCAGTGCTGAGAGCTTACTTCTAACTCTGCATTCAGGACTCTGGGACCGCATGGGGTGCCTGGGATGGAACCTGGGTGAGCTGCATGCAAAAGCAAGTGCCCTAAATAAAGGCTGTACTCTCGCTCTGGCCCCTTTTTCTGCAGCTTATACTTGATCTGATTATGCTCATCTCCACCTAATTTCTCAACCCACTAAAATGGCTAGTTCTGTCTTGAGCTCCTGCTCATTGTATAGAAGTGTTTGGGAAGTGGCCCTCGGGGTACCTGGGAAAGTCGTGTTTTGCTCTCCATCTTGGTCTCCTCTCACTGTCTGCCTTTCACTATAGTCCTATGGCTTAAAAAATTTGACTGTAGCTGTTCGCAGAGAATTTTGTTAAACCAGAATTGTATAATTTTGTTTTGTGCTTAGATTTCACTTGAGATTTAATGTAAGAATTTAAATGATTAATATTGTTAACATCTTTAATGAGTTTAAGCAATTTTTTGTGAATGGATACTTTAGTAACTTAATTCCTATTTTTGGAAATAAAATATTTTTATGAAAGTTTTATGCTCATAAAGAAAATGAGATCTGTTTTGAAGATCTGGTCACAGATGTCTCATAAATTAACTTAATCTGATGAACCTTGCAGGAGATATAATGATTAGGTTTTATGGAAGCGTTAGGTTTTCATGGAAATTGTATTTATCCTTTTAAATAAGGCTATCTCAATTTTAGTAAAAGTTTGTTTTTACATTTCTTTAGAAAAAAAAAGAAAATCTGCGTTCTTTAAATATATGTGGCCACGTTGGTTTTGAGAGTTTGCCCGATCAGCTAGTGAATAGGTCCATCCAGCAAGGTTTCTGCTTCAACATTCTCTGTGTAGGTAAGTACTAAAGTCTTAGGTTAAACTGTTTCTTCATATGACTTATGTATTTTATTCTAGGTGTAAGCAGTATGATGTTCCTACTATTAATTTGAGATAATGGTCACATTTTTAGCTATTTAATTTTTGTAGTTTTGTTTTTCTTAGTTATACTGCTTTAAACTTACTTATTTTTTAAACATCTTGCTACTGCCTTCAGAGGTCTGAGTAACTGACTACATACTCATTTCTGTGTGATACTTCTGGTTTAGTAGAGTAGCCTCCACATGTCATTTCCTTCACAGACGACACTAACTTGGAAATAGTTGGTTCTACTCTAGGAGTCTATCATATGAAGATGTGCCTTTGTTTCTTTCAGGAGAGACTGGAATTGGAAAATCAACATTGATTGATACATTGTTTAATACTAATTTTGAAGACCATGAATTCTCACATTTTTGCCCCTGTGTTAAACTTAAGGCTCGTACATATGATCTCCAAGAAAGTGACGTTCGATTGAAACTGACAATTGTGAATACAGTGGGATTTGGTGACCAAATAAACAAAGAAGAAAGGTAAATTTTCTGGTAATAAAACAAGTTTTTCTTATTTCTGGACATTCATTTCTTTTATTGCTCCATGAATGGGTTTGATTTTTGGAGGTTTTTTTTTTTATTTTTGGGGGAGCCACACCCACGGTGCTTAGGAATCACTCCTGGCCAGACTCATATGGGGTGATTGGGTTCGAACCCAGGTCCACCATGTGCAAGGCCGTACCCATTTTACTATCCCGCTAGCCCTTTTATTTTCTATTATGGAAATTCAAACTTTCCTTTCCAGAGTTTAGTTTTTACATTTTATTATCTAATCTGATTTTTTCTTTCTTTTTTTTGGTGGTAGTGGAGCAGTACTCAGGGCTTACTCCTGGCTCTGCTCTCAGGAATCATGCCTGTGGGGCTTGGAGGACTGTATGGGATACCGAGGAGTAAACCCAGATTGGCCACATACAAGGTCCTACCCATTTGACTATCTGTCTGGCTCTTTACTTTGAATAACTTGAATAATTTTATTGAAATATATATATTTCAGCAGACAAAATAGTTTTATTTTTAACTGCCACTGTGTATATTAATTGATTTATAGTTATTTTCAGGCCGGAGTTATCTTGACTTTCATTCTTTCGTAGGAGTGGCCAGTGCCCTCACTGCTCAGCCCAGCCCTGGGACCTGCAGGGAGTAACCAAGGCCAGCATCGCAGTGCTGCTGTGGACAGTGGGGCTGGGCCCTCGCTGCACCACACAGTGCCAGGGATGGAACTCAGAACTTTATACATGCAGATATGTGCCCCACCAGTTGACTCTTCTCATCCCAAAACTTTTATCTTGTATTTTTTAAAATCTAAAACATAATAGCAAACATAAATGATAACCAGATCCCTGGTGCATGATATCTATTTTTTTTTTTATTGAATCACTGCGAGATACCTTTACAAAACTTTCATGTTTTGAGTTTCAGTCATATAGTGATCAAACACCCATCCCTCCACAGTGCACGTTCCCCACCACCAGTGTCCTCAGTATTCTTCCCCCTCCACCCCCTATAGCAGACAATTTCCCCCCATATGCTCTCTACTTTGGGGCATTATGGTTTGCAATACAGATACTCAGAGGCTATCACGTTTGGTCCTTTATCTACTTTCAGAAAACATCTCCCATCCCAAATGATCCCTCCAACCACCATTAACCTTGTGATCCCTTCTCTATTCCAGCTGCCTTCTCCCCCAGCTCATGAAACAGGCTTTCAACTATAGAGCAATATTCCTGACCCTTCTGTCTACTGTCCTTGGATGTCAGTCTCATGTCATGTTATTTTATATTCCACAAATGAGTGCAGTCATTCTATGTCTGTCCCTCTCTTTCTGACCCATTTCACTTAACATGATACTCTCCACGACCATCTATTTACAAGCAAATTTCATTACTTTATCTTTCCTAACAGCTGCATAGTATTCCATTGTGTAGATATACCAAGGTTTCTTTAACCAGTCATGTGTTCTCGGGCACTTGGGTTGTTTCCAGATTCTGGCTATTGTGAATAGTACTGCAGTGAACACACAGGTGTGCATGTCATATCTACTGTACTTTTTTGCACCTTCAGGATATGTTCCCAGAAGTAATATTGTGGAATAATATGGAAGCTCTATTTCTAGGTTTTTACGGAATGTCCATATTGTTTTTCAAACAGGCTGGATCAGTCGGCATTCCCACCAACACTGAAAGAGAGTCCCTTTCTCCCCACATCCATGCTAACACTGGTTATTCTTGTTCTTTTTGATGTGTGCCAGTCTCTGTGGTGTGAGATGATATTTCATTATTGTTTCGATTTGCAACTCCCTGACTAGCTATATACAGCATTTTTCATGTGCCTTTTGGCCATTTGTATTTTTTTTGGTTTGTTTGAGGAAGCTTCTGTTCGTTTCTTCTCCACATTTTTGGATGTGGCTGGAGGTTTTTTTCTTGTCCAATTATACTAGTGTCTGGTATATCCTGGTATTAACCCCTTATCAGATAGGTATTGGGTAAATATTCTTTCCCATTCTGTTGGCTCTCTCTGTATTGTGGTCACTGTTTCTTTTGAGGTGCAGAAGCTTCTTAGTTTAATGTAGTCCCAGTTGTTTATATTTGTTTCCACTTGCTTGGTCTTTACTGCTTGGTAAGTGGTATTTCATTCTTAAAGATGCCTTTAGCTTCAGTGTCATGAAGGGTTCTGCCTACATTTTCCTCCATGTGCCTTATGGATTCATGTATGACATTGAGATCTTTTTTTTGGCGGGGGGAATTCATACCTGGCGATGCACAGGGGTTACTCCTGCTCTGCACTCAGGAATTACTCCTGGCGGTGCTCAGAGGACCATATGGGATGCTGAGAATTCAACCTGGGTCAGCTGCGTGCAAGGCAAACACCCCACCCACTGTGCTATCGCTCCAGCCTCATAATATTGAGATCTTTAATTCACTTTGATCTGACTTCTGTGCCTGCAGTTAGACAGAGGTCAGAGTTCATTTTGCACCTTCAGGATATGTTGGTCCTTTATCTACTTTCAGAAAACATCTCCCATCCCAAATGATCCCTCCAACCACCATTAACCTTGTGATCCCTTCTCTATTCCAGCTGCCTTCTCCCCCAGCTCATGAAACAGGCTTTCAACTATAGAGCTACTTGCAGGTAGCTCTCTAGTTTTCCCAGCACCACTTGTTGAAGACACTTTCCTTTTTTCAGTTCACATTTCTTGCTCCTTTGTCAAAGATTAAGCGATCATATATTTGAGAGACTGTCATGGAATATTCAACACTGTTCCATTGGTCTGCAGGTCTGTTTCTAGCTCAATACCATGCTGTTTTAATTACTGTTTTAATTTTATTGCTTTGTAGTACAGTACGAAGTTGGGGAAGGTGATGCCACCCATCTTCTTTTTCCCTAGGATTTCTTTAGCTATTCCTGGGGGTTTATTGTTCCATAGGAACTTTGGGAGTGTTGTGTCTTTTTCTTTGAAGAATGCTGTGGGTATCCTGATAGGGACCACATGAAATCTGTATAGCACTTTGGGGAGTATTGCCATTTTGGTAATGTTAATCCTCCCTATCCATGATCAGGGGATGTGTCTCCATTTCCTAGTGTTCTCTTTTATTTTTTGAAGTAGTGTTTTTCTTTGTATAGGTCCTTTACCTCTTTAGTTAAACTGATTCTGAGGTCCTTGATTTTCTGAGGTACTATTGTAAACAGGGTTGTTTTTCTAATATCTCTCTCTTTCATTATTTATACATAGGAAAGGCATAGACTATTGGGTGTTGATTTTGTAGCCTGCCACTTTACTATACAAATCTATTGTTTTTATAAGCTTTTATGTAATCTTTAGGATTTTTGAAGCATAGTTTCATATCATCCACAAATAATGATAGCTTGACCGCTTTCTTTCCTATCCCTATGCCCTTGATATCTTTTTCTTTCCTAATTGCTATGGCCAGAACTTCCAGTACTATATTGAATAGGAGTGATGAGAGCGGGCAGCTTTGTCTTGCCCCCCATCTTAGAGTAAAGTCTTTTAGTTTCTCCCCATTGAGAATTATGTGCTGTGGGTTTGTGGTAGATGGCTTTGACTATATTGAGGAAATTTACTTCAAGCCCATTTTACTGAAAGTTTTCATCATAAATTGGTGCTGGATCTTGTCAAAGGTGCAGATATTTTAATCAGATTGCTAGCTTATTGTCACAATTTCAGAGATATGATAATGAAATTTTTATTTATACTTTTATTATTATTACTCTGTTGTATTATAGAGATTGATTATAGAGCTTGTGTGAAACTTTGTGCAGGAATAAAGAAATTTAGGGTATTAGGTTTTGTTGCTTTCCTTTTGTGAAATCTAAATATCTTTATTATAGGTAATATTCTGGTTTCCTAATCTTGCTTTTAAGGGGGAAATATTTTGTAGAACTTGTTCATTGTGTGACCCGTGTTAGCCTTTCCAACACATTTGCTGTTTTTAAATGTCAAGAAATTATTTGTCTGGACTAGGAAAAGACCTTTCACTTGTTACCTAAACCGCATAATCTATTCTTTTATATTTATTATGTCAAATTATATGTAATATATGTTACATATTGTATATACTCTATGCAATATATATTGCAAATGTAGCACAGCTTACATTTACCCTTAGATATTTATCAGTTTTGATGCTCAATACTTCCTTTCAGGGGCCAGAGAGATAATATAGAGGTTAAGGAGTGTTCTTTGCATGTGGTATTCTGTCAAGACTGGTTTGATTCCTGGTATGATATATGGTTCCCTGAGCATTACCAGGAGTGAATATTCCACAAACACATCTAAGCACTGCCCCCAAATGAACAAAATCCAGAACTCAGAACAAAACAGAATTTCCTTTCTCTTTAATGAATGAGAAAAAATTCATTTTGGGCACAGGAGGCAGTTAATAATTCAGAGAAAGACCACCTGGCACCAGAGCAGTTCCCGTCATCATCCCCAGCACTGAGCTGGAAGTATCCACTCTGCACCATTGGATGTGACCCAGAAATCCAAATAAAGAGGAAATACTTGTTTTGGGTATAGGGGCCCCAGTGAAGACAGCCAGGCATGGGGGCAGGGTTATTTATTAAAGAAATATTTATTTATAAAATTTATTTATTTACTAAATAAATCAGTAATAACTAAATTAAATGAGTGGATATGGAGCTTCATGGATAGGCAATAGCTTAGGGAATTCATAGAATTGAAACTAGTTTTGCAAGAAGTGTTAAAGAAGCTTCTTTAAAGGACAGGACAAACTTCCCAGCAAGTGGCACTGATTGTGGCACTCATTCACAGCACTTATGGTTGCCCTTCTAGATTAAGAAAGGTATCCTAGCCTGAGAAGAAATCTGATTCATTTTTCAACAACAAATTAGCATCTCATTTATATTGAATGTTCCGTGTCTTGTAAGTTTATTTTTTTGCATCCATACAGATTTCTATTACAATCTTTAAATTACGAATGCAGACATTTAAGATCTATAAT